GGTGTGTGTCAGAAGTGGATGGGCAGCCCCGCTCTCCAGCAGAGCCAGCCCTGGCATGGGCAGCGCCGTGGGGTGGAAACAAACCCCATAACTCCCTAAGGCAATAGTACCTGCAACAGGTCCTGCCCGCCGCTGCCAGGTCACTCGCTTGCCTCCATCCTCCTCCCGGCCGGCAGCGCCGCTCCGGCTCTGCCTGTCCAGTGCGATCTCACACGCGCCTGAGTTTCTAATTAGCAGGAGGAAGGAGGTCTCCTCCAAGCCCCGGTTATCTGCCCTTCCGCAAGGCAGATGGGCAGGAGAACGGACCCAGCCAATGTGCAGGGCAATGCCTGCAAAATCCCCGGCTGGGGGAAGCCCCCCGCCCCTTTGCCGCGCTCTCCCTCTTGCTGGTGCCGGCAGCCGGAGGGGGGGCCGCCGCCAGCCCATCCCTATGGACAAGGCGGTGGCAAGGTGTTATTTCTGTGCACCCAGCTGCTCCGGAGACGCTACCTTTCCCATGCACAGGCATATTATGGAGGCTTGTTAATTATAGCAATTTACAAATTGATGTTGGGGAATTGACTTCATTGGAAAGAGTTAAAATATTTAGCTTGATTGAACATCTGCTACCCTTAATTCAGAGTTTATTTAAGGGGAGCTTTTGCTGTTGTTGCTGTTATGTGCCTGGATTTTGTTATTGCCATGTGCTTGCAGCGCCGGAGACGGCCCAGCCCCGCTCTCCCCATCACCCCATCCCGTAAAACCAGGGAAGAGAAATGTCCCACTGCTTCCTCGGTGGCTTTTCTCCCTGGGCAGGTCCCTGGGCTGGCATCGCCCCCGCTGTGGTGGGGTACGAACCTCTTGCTAGTTTTTATCCCCATCTGCTGCATCCCAAAGGACAACTTCAAATTGCAGATACAGCTGGGAGGGGGAATGCAGGATGATCCCCTCGCTGGAGCCCCAGTACCGTGGGAACCCTCCTGAGCTTTCCCGGTTCCAACCCCCCCCTGAAGCCTGTCCCACGCCTCGTGCCCCTGAGGGGAGGGGGGGCCGGGCAGAGGGGACCCTTCCCTCCACCCCAGCACGGTCCAATTTGGACGCGCATCAAAATACATCACCAAATTCTCTCCAGAGGATGTATGGCATAATTAGCTGATGGGTTAATCGTCAGGTTAATTAACCATTGGAACAACTTGCCCGGAAAGATGGAGATTTTCCATCGCTTGAGGACTTCAATCGGGCTGGGAGGGTTGCTGAGAGCTGTGGTTCAGCACCAGGGAGGGGTCGGAGACCCCCGTTTCGCTGACCCTGCGTGGGGGCTCAGCCTGTGGAGGACCCTGGCCGTGGAGCCCGGGGGTCCCCGTGGGACCATCGGCACCCACCCTGCCCTCCCACCAGTGCGGGAAGCAAATGCTCAACGGGGCCAGTTCGTTTGTGCCAAGTTTGCAATTAGTGCTTGGGTGCGTGGTTAAATAAATCATCCAGAGGACAAAAAAAAGTGATTAAAGGTGAGTAATTAAGACAGGGCGTGGGGCTCCCATCCCCAGTCTTCCCTGCAGAAAGCGCCTTGCTTCCTGCAGCCTGGCTCTCCAAACCGTTTCCTTCTCCCAGGAACTAATTTTGGGGCAATTTTGGAAAAAAGCCGTGCCCTCTCCCCAGCCTCGCCCACAGGTGCCGGTGCTGGGGGGCTTTTCCTTCCCCCACCCCATTCTCAGCCCTGCGTGGAGCCCGCAGAGGCCGCGGGTGCCATGAAACACCCATTTGGTTCCGTGACATTAATTTTACGATATCCCTGGAGCGGTTCCAAAGCAAAGTTTTATGTGATATGATTACACAAGGTGAATTGTCCTGTATCTGTTTAATGAAACAGATACTGTGTTTAATGATTCTTCGGGGAATTAAATACAGTTAAGCTATTAATCAGGCATTGGTTTCGTGGGGAGGAAGAGGTAGATACCCAGAGCTTTTATGCATCGTGAGATAGATGTATACGGCACTGCCAGGAGAGTTGTGGCTTATTATCGATGTTTCATTATCCCTTTTATCGCCTGATTTTTATGGGAGGATCAATTAGCGAGAAGGATAATTGAAAGATTTCAGCACGGAGTGCAAGCAGTGGCCCTGGGATGGGGGATGCGGGGGACACGGGGGACACCCGCTAACCCTGTCCTCTGCTCCTTCCAGAGTGGCCGGAGTTCGTGGCGAACTACGCGCCGTGGTGGGCGACCCACACCCTCGACTGGCTGCGCTACGGCAAGAAGGTGCTGGTGGTGCACTTCGAGGACCTGAAGCGGGACCTCTTCGTCCAGCTGCAGCGGATGGTGGGGCTGCTGGGCATCGCCGCCTGCGAGGACAGGCTGCTCTGCGTCGAGGGACAGAAGGACGGCAACTTTAAGCGTTCCGGCTTGAGAAAATTGGAATACGACCCTTACACCCCTGAGATGAGGAAGATGATCAGCGGCTACATCAAAATGGTGGACACAGCTCTGAAACTCCGAAACCTGTCGGGAGTCCCGGATGACTACTATCCGAGATGATGGTGATGGTGGCAGGGGGACCTGACCCTGCGTGGCGAGGAAAGGCTCGGTCTCCCCGGCCTCTGCCTACTTCCACCCAGTGGGTGGCTTTTCTTTTAATTCTCCATCTGCTGCTTTTAGCTGTTAATCAACTCCCTGCACGAGCAACGAACGGTCCCCAGCCATCGCTGAGCTTGCTTGGCCGACGCCGACGTGGACCCGGGCACGGCGGCACCGCCGAGGGGATGCACGATGCCTTCCCCGCAGCAGGGTTCCTGCTCCATCCCGTGCCTGTTTCAGCTGCTGCACCCCTCCTTGGCAATGCAGCAGGTTATTTGTGCCATCCCTCCGGGCTGGCTGTCGGGGATACTGCGTTGCTCGTGCCGTGCCTGATGCACCCCCCTGGTGCTGGCACGCTGCTACGGTGCCACAGGAGCTGAGCTCCCCTGGGGTGGGTACCCCCAAACTCCCCTCGCTCCTTGGCCATCCCTGGAAGGCTGCTGCCCGTCCCCAGATGGAGTCCATTGGCCTTCCCAAAGGAGAAGGGGCCGGGGGGGTTGGCACCGCGTGGGCAGTGCTCCTGTGGATCCCGGTTAGAGGTTATGGAGGGCGGGAGGGCTGCACCAGGGAGAGCGGTGCCGCCGAACAAGGTGGCCGTGTCCCTCCTGCGCACCCTCCCTTGGCTCCGCAGGGACCCTCCTTGAGCCTGGGGACAGTGGGGTCCCTGGGGCAAGGCTGGCATCCCCAGCCACAGCACTGGGCAACGTTGCTGCTCCATCCATGTGGTCACTGCTCCAGCCCCGGTGCCCCGGGGGGGCCCGTGACCCCCACCCATGGGCTGCAGGTGGGAGCCACCCGGATGCGTGTGGGCGATGCTCGAGAGGGGGACGTTGACCCTGGACAGAAGAGCTTGCAGGACCCATGAGCACATCCGTGCCTCATTTCGAAAGCTCACGCGCCAGAAGAGCCCCCCAGAAGCA